TGTTCCCTGCTTTTCTTGACCAGCACTGCTGTTCAAGTGGCATCCCTGCTAAACGCCTCAGGTACAAGTTACCCATGCAGATCTGCACCAGAGGGGACCTTACAAGGCCTCTCGTCCAGTAGCCTGGCCAGGCAGGTCAGAGCTGGTGTCTCTTCCTGTAGAACTGTAAGAATCGCCTACTCTTAGCATACTGGAAATTGTAATGGAGAGCCCATAACATAGAAAAATAGAAACAAAGCATGTCAGAAGGATCCCAAGGGCCATCTAGTCTGACCCCCAGCACAAGCCAGCTCTGCTCATATAATGTCCAACATGTAGGTGTCCAGGCTTTCCTTGAACACCCTCACTGATGGAGCCTCCACCACCTCCCATGGAAACCCATTCCATATCCTAGGGGTCCTAACCATCAGGAAGTGCTTCCTGACATCCAACCTGAAGCCCAGTTCCTTCAGCTTTTCCCCATTAAATTGCATCCTTCCCTCCACCACAGCGGAGAACAGGTCATGACCCTCTAGCTTGTGATACCCCTTCACATACCTGTAAGTCGCTATTAAATCCCCTCAGAGTCTCCTCTTCTCCAAGCTGAAAAGTCCCACTTCCCTCAATCTCATTTCATACGGTATTCCCCCCACACTCCAGCTACCATCCTTGTGACCCTGTGCTGGACTGATTCTAACCTTGCTATGTCCCTCTTGTAATGTGGAGCCCAGACTTGGACACAGTACTCCAATTGTGGATGCACCAGAGTGGCACCAGCACCTCTCTTGATCTGGAAGCCACGCCTCTGGCTATACATCCAGGGTAGCATTCACCCTCACCCTCACCCTCAGCATCACACTGCTGGCTCATGTTTAGCCTGCTGTCGACAAGTACCCCAAGATCTCTTTCACAAGTGCTGCTCTCCAGCCACTTGTCCCCCATCCTGTATGGCATCATGGCACTGTATCCCTATGGCACTTATTCCTGATTCCCAAGTGCAAAACTTTGCACTTACCTGTATTGAATGCCATCCTGTGGTCCCCTGCCCACTTCCAGTCCGTCCCGATCCTTTTGGACCTAGAGTTCCTGCTCCTCCATTTTGGCTACCACCCCCACTTGGGTATCATCTGCAGATTTAGTCAGATGCCAATACTTTTGGATTTGCAGAGTTGTGGAGGAAATATATTAAGGCTGTAAAACAGACCACAGAGCCCTGCCAGCATCATTTTAAAGTGTGTGAATGGCCTGTGGGTCTGCATGATGGTGTTGTTGGACTCCAGCTCTCATCAGCCCCAATAGTGAAGCCGATGGTTGGGGTGATGGGAGTTGTAGTTCAGCAACATCCAGAGAACCACAGAGTCTCTGCTCCTGTCCTGAAGGTGTGGATGTAGTGGGTGGTCCTTGGCAATACATTTTTGACTTGCCCATTGAGCCACCACATTTCATTTCCTCAGCAACCTTGTGGGATACGTTGGGATGAGATGTACATGTGTACATTTCTGTCTCTGTTCTGTCTGCTTGGCCCGAGATCAGCCAGTGAGCGCTATGAAGAAAAGAACCATTTCAGCCTGTGTCTTCCCAGCTGATACCTAACACTCTGGCCACTGCATTGTACCATACGCTGCATAAAGGAGAGCTTCCCCAACTTCCTACACTACAGCAGTTTTGGACTTCAGTTCCCATCAGCCGCAGCCAGCATGGCCAATGATCAGGACTGCTGCAAATTTTCCAACCAGCTGGAGGACAGGTCAGGGAAGACTGATTTGTAAAAATGGAGATGGGTGACACTGAAGTCACCAACGGCAGGACAGAGACACAGACATGCATATGGCGTCTTTGTGCCAGCAAGTCCTGATTCTGTAGACATCCAGTGGTGTAGCAGAGTCAAGGTTTGCAGGGATGCAGATAATTATTATTTGCAGATACCTTGACATTCTTCCACCCCCTTCAGAATTCCCCTTTTCCTCTGTGCTTAGTAGCAATTCTCACAGTAGCTGGGAGAGAGGGATGAACTTTTCACAAAACAATATATTGTTCTTTGCTGAAATGTGAAGTATTTGAGGCGGCTTGATCTGGAACAGGCAATTAAGCCCCATTTGTTTTACTGAATACCTGCTCTTGGTGCAGATTAGAACTGTTAGAACTGGTTTGTTGATATGCTTCAGGGTGTGGCTATGGAAATGGTCACCAGTAGAGCATGAGATAAAGAAATGCTGGGGCTTGGGCTCACAGGGCAAAAAAAGAGGAAAAATTGCATAAGTTAATTTACATATGCCCAAAATTGTGTGTGTGTGTGCACGCATGTGTGTGTATGACTTTAAAGACCTTGTCTCCAAGGGCGCAAGTATTTGTAAAAGAGATGCATGGATAAGGGCAAGGAGGGCATTTGATCTCAGGCAGAAAGGTTTAAAGGGGGTGCAGAACATAAAGCATATGTGAGCAAAGAACCAGCTAATTTGATGGGATCAGATGCAACAAAAATCTTCAGGGCTCCTGTCTTTTTATTTCAGCAGGTGCTTGTGGACAGGAGGGTGGAGATGCAGGTGGCCTCCCACAGATTCAAGCTCTGAATGAAAGATCTGGGGCTGCAACCCTAATGAGCTGTCCCCTAACATCATCTCTGGGGATGGACATGTTGAGCACCTATATTTCAAAACATCACTGCAGCACTGATTAAGCCCTTTTGATAATATCCATGACTGCACCAGCTTTGATGAGAAAGCCTGAAAATCTGGTAATTTACAACCATAACCTGGATGCCTTGCAAGGCAATTCTTCCTTATCTGCATTTCACCAGGAGACAGGAATAGACTGTAAGGAGGTGGTAGTGGCTCTGTTCTATGAGCGGGTGGGGGAGAGAGTGCTGATGAGAAGCACACAGATCCTCGGGATTGGACCTGCACCTCTCCCAAGCATCAAGTGCCCAGTGCAGTGGCTTATCTTTGTTGAGGCCTAGTACTGAACACCATCAAGCCAGAGTGACCTGACTCACTGCATCGGGCACTCCTCTCCAGTCAGAGCTGGGTCACTAGGAAGCTGCCCTTGGTCCAATGTCAGCCCCGACTGGTAGCTGCAGCTCTCCAGAGATCCAGGCAGGACTTGGAGATGCTGGGGATCAAACTGGGGGCCTTTTGCATGCCAAGTAGAGGCCCTGCCACAGAGCTGCAGCTGATTCCCTCCCCCAAGGAGGCAGGGTTATTGGCTCATTGGACAGGTAGGCAATGTGCAGGGTAGGTGGGAACCATCTCTTCCTGCTCCTTGTGCTGCTGCTGCTTGTTCATGATGTCGGTATGACAGCAGATGTCATTCCACTTGACTGGGGAATGTTACTTCAGCCAATCAAAGTTTGCTCTCAACTGAAAGGTAATAGCAATGCATCTTTGCATGGTGCTTTCCAGCTGTAGCATTCCCCAAATGGAGAAAGAACCAAAACGGATGTAGAGTGGTCAGTCAGCTCAGGAGGAGAACGATGAGTCTTGTGCACACCCTTCCAAGTGGGCCACGCTGCTGGTCTAGATATCGCCAACCCCTTTCCCAGTGAGGACAATTAACTCCTGGAAGTTTTCACCTCCCCTTTGGGGTGATTGTGGATGCCCTTGCAGCTGTGAGCATCAATGTGCAGCAGTCAAAAAATCAGAGAAACAAGAAAGATAATTCTGGGGGCCCAATGCCTTGTCCAGATGGAAAGGGATTGAGGCTACAGGGGCAAGGAACCTCCCTAAAGGCAAACTGTTTCTCTTGTCTGCCACTAGGGGGCAGGGTCCCCAAGGGTGGCATGAGTACCTACATGTTTGTACCAGTGTGCATACAGGCATCTGTGCCTCTACCTGCCTCTGAGCAGGTGGTGTTGGTCAGTCGCAAAGTTGTGTCCGACTCTTCGCAACCCCATGGACAACATTCCTCCATGTCTTCCTGTCCTCCACCATCCCCCCTCTGAGCAGGTAGTCTGGCCCTAATTCAGGTTTCTTTACCCAGAGCCAGGTTCCCAGCCTGCAGGGAAAGGAAACTGGCAAAATAGAGAGCCAGTCCCTTCTTGGCACATGTAGAGGTACGCTTCTTTTTCTCTCTGGGGAGATGGAGTAGTGGCAGTACCTGGTTTGTAAAGAAATTAAGATTCTAATGTTAGAGCCAGAGATGGTTCAGAGGTCATCCAATCCAATCTGCTGCTCAGGATTGGAATGAAGCTGCATGGAGCAAGGACTAAAGACAACACAGGGTGTGTTTGCCTTTTCCTTTGTCTTCTCTGCTAGAGATCCAGGGGAGGTGCAGAAATGTAACTTGAAGAGAAACACCTGTAACTACCCCTGCCCCCACAAACATTGTGGCACACATTTGCATATGCAAGGGAACAGCTGCACAAGCATACACATCAAGCAAAGCACGGCCTTGTCAAATCTTCGCTGACCTCCATTCGCACCAAGTTCCTGCATTTCATAGCTTACCATACAGTGACAGTTTCCTTCTTTGTCTTCTGACTTTGCTGACTGAGGTCATGCCTCCCTCCCACATCAGCCATCACTGCCCCCAGCATGGCCCACTGATGGCCCACCCAGGGCATCTTGACTGTAGATCCTGGCAGGGTCTTTCCCAGCATGTGACAAAGTTGTGCTGTCGCTTCTCAGGCCATGGCACACAGCAGTACCTCTCTGCAGCCTCCTCTGCCTCTCTTCCTGTGGGATGCTGGCAGGTGGATCAGTATTCAGAAGGCTGGTATGGCTGGCTCTACAGTGACTCCTGCCCACTCTTAGAGCGGGCACCCCTGGACCATCTTCTGAAGTGCTACACCCCTGCACCAAGCCACTCCTGTCCCTTCAGTAAATCCCTTCAACCCTGCTGCTGGTCCTTATGTTTTCCCTGAGGCCTACAGCCCATGCAGGTCTGGGCACAGCTTGTTTCCTCCCCCAAGGGGAACCCCATCAAACTCCCTCAGCTCCATAGCCTCTAGCAACCCATCAGGATCCCGAACTGTGCCCCATATCCCCCCGACTGATGCCCTCTGTGTCCCTGTGATTGCACTGCAGGCCAGATCGACGTGTCTGAGATCCAGCAAACCTTCCACAGCCTGGGCGTTTACATATCCTTGCAGCAAGCAGAGAAAATATTACACAGGTGAGGCTTGGACCATCCCCACTTTGCACATATGCACACACACATTCACACCGTCACCACATCTGCTTGGTGTTCCAGCTGGCTGGGTTGGGTTGATAGCTGGACCCATTGCAGTGCCTGCATTCATCTCAGCAGGTAGCAGGGGTGAGAACGGGAAGCAAGATTCAGGAGTGGACTGAGGTTCTGGTTTCCAACACCAGACCTTGAAGTCTGGCCTTCTGGGCTGCTGTCAGAGCTCCAATGTTCCAGTGCCCAACCTGCCATGACCTCTGATTTGGGCACCCATAATTCCCCTCCCCAGTGTTGCTCCAGTCAGTGCAGGACACCTGGATCTGAATGCTACCATTGCTATTTCCAGCAATGCTCCTGGCAGAAACCTGTGAGAAATGGAGGTGGCACTCCTCCAGCACCTGCTTTTGCTGACAGTCCTCTTGATGCTCAGGCCCCCATACCAGAGCTGACCTGCTTGGAGGGGGCTGCTGTGGCAAGAGCTTCTCAAACCCAGGGTTTGCCTCGGCAGATAACTGAGATGGGAGTCAGGGCTCAGCCTTTCCTGCCCCCCTCCCACACAGTGCAAATAGTTGCTGCCTCTGCTTTCCCCTCTGCAAGGGGCCGCCTGTCTCTTGGGAAGCAGTGGCCCAGATCGGGCCAGTGTGCCCTTCCCCCCAACCACTCGTGGTCCCCACTGTCCACACCCAGGTCACTCTGCTCTGCATGTGTGTTTTACAGCATAGACAAAGATGGCACCATGACTATCGACTGGCATGAGTGGCGAGACCACTTCATCCTCAATCCACTGGAGAACATGGAAGAGATTGTCCACTACTGGAAGCACTCAATGGTAAGCTCATTCCCCAGGCCAGGCCTTGCCTCCTCCCCCACCCATCCCACTTCCCTGATTCTGGAACATCAGAAGCTGCCTTATACCAAGTCAGACTGGGAGCCCAGCATTGCTAAGACTGACTGGCAGTCACAGGACTACAGGCAGGAGTTTTTCCCTGCCCTGCCAAGAGAAGGTGTGATCAAACCTCAAATCAAGCCTTCTGAATATGAAGTTGAGCCACAGCTCTTCCGGGGAGGTGGGCCAGAACAACTGATATGAATAGAGGCAGTAGGCGTGGAATTATACAGTAAATGCAGAAGATTAAACTCACCACAATGAGCATGAGGCTTGGCAGAGTTTTCAAATATAAATGTACCAATGCAGCCCTCCAGTAGAAAGTATCCAAGTTACATACAGACTACAAAGTTCCCACTAATGCCATTTTTGACATAGATTTTTCCAGGTGACATGGTATATAAAACATGGTATATATAAGACTTTGTAATCCCTTATTACTTACCCCAAATAAAAATGATCAAGTCTGGGCAGAGTAGCATTAGCTGCCCAAGGAACTGTTAGACATTATTTGGCTACTTATTCATGCCACAACCCTTCCTGGGCATACCCACCTCAGTTCTTCAGAAAAGCAAACTGGGTTCAAAGCAGCATCCTAAATGTCCTTGCCAGGTGTACTGGGGAACCTGGATTCAAGATTCACTAAGGGAGAAAAGCAGAGCAGCAGAGACTTGGATCCAGACTGGCAAGCTGTACTCCATCCTCTGTCTCGGGCATGGTAAACCAGGGGTCCCCTGAATGTTGCTGGGCTCTAACTCCTTTGACCTCTGATGGCTGGCCATGCTGGCTGGGGGTGACAGTAGCTGGAGTCCAGGAAGAACAAAGGACAGCAGGATCCCTACTCATTTTCTATCCTGTAGAGGAGCCTGCGAGACAAATCTCCCGGGAGACAAAGAGAGCCCCCAGGACTTACAGCTAAAATGCAAAGCAACTTAATTTTTTTTTAAACAACAAAACATTAAAACAGTTCAAACACTTTTAAATAGATGTTACACTTTAAACCATCAGTAACAGCAGAATTAAAAGCTGGAAAGGATCTTAAAAACAGAGAGTGACAGTAATACACTTTGGGTGCAGTCCTATACAGTCCCATAGTTATGATGACTGGGACATGCTGGGGGATGTACCTCTTTTGCCTGTCTAAATTTGCATAGAATTACACCTTTAGGGGAGATCTGTGGTCTCTAGACATAGGATTGAGGGGCCATGTGATACCCTGGTTCCCCAGATCCAAGGTTGGAGATAGAGCACCATCTTGGAGCTGAAGATCTGTGTTCTGACGCTCATCCCCGCCTTGCCCCCAACACAAACACACACAGAGCCAAAGTGGAACGAACCACACCAGCCACCTCTTCAATTCAGGAACAACTTCAGAAAGGGGTGAAGGGGGCATTTTGGCGGGCAGGGAAGGAGCCAGGTTATAACATACCATGTGACCTTTGGAAGCTCCTTATGGCCCCCTGCGAAGTGGCCCTGCTAGACAGCCAAAACCGGCTGCCTACTGAAAATGCAGAGCTAGGAATTGATGATCACCTCTGTCACTGCTAGCACTTTGCACAGAATGCTTATACTCATCTCACTTTGGAGGCTTCCAGGCACCCTGATTGGATTGCGTCCTTAAAGTACTACATAGGCACAAGGAAAATACCGGAACCACTTGGGGCACCATGTTATGGGACTGAAATAGTGTTGGGCCACTAAAGAGATGGGCTTCTTCTCTCTAGGCTGTGAGGAAGGCAAATTCCACGCTCTTGGGGTCCAGTCTGGTTCACTGGATGGCCTGTTTTGCTGGCACCCTTCTGCTAGGCTTTTACAGGGGTTGCTTCTTGCTCTGGGGGCACTGATTAACAGTCCTTGTGCTACAGTCCAGGTCTCTGCTACCTGCCGCATAGATGCAAACCTATGTTCCTCTTGTGCGTGTGCAACAGGAGAGGAAAACACAGCCCTGAGCCTAGTCGGTGAAGGAGGCAGAGGTTCGTGGGTTCACTGGGGCGTTGCTCCATTCTTTTTGCAGCTTGCCTGTTGCTTGCTTCCTGCGAGTGGAGCAGACTTCATAAGGCTTTCACTGCCTGCCCACCTACTTCCTCATGCTCAGACGTGCATACTGGTAACTAAAAGATGTCTCCAAAATACGGCCCTAGCACTCTTTCCTCAAAGGAGACTTACTTTACTAGATGCATTTCCTAGGATTTCCCATCACTCATGGAAGTCGGGAGTGCATGCCACATTCCCCTCCCTTCCCTAAGCAGAGGCTCTCCAGGAAACAGCTAGCTACGCTCTTTGACTGCCCTTTCTGGACTCTGCAGGAACTGGTGAGGTAGGGGTGGGGGGATCAGAACTGAAAAAGTTCAGGTCTCTGGGCTGGGTGCTGGCCAAGGCCCTCTTTCTTCACTATCCTGTTCCAGCCATGCTAATCTCATCAACCAATTGAAACCGGGCAGATTAAAGTTTATATTTAAACACTGTGTCATCCCCCTCCCACCAGGGGGCAGGTAGAGACCTCCGAGACTGCCAGGAGCATCGGGCGGAAGAGCTGATGGCAGCGGGTGTGAGCGTTTCAGGGTCTAGCAACCCACCCTCCATATCCCAAATTGCATTGTTCTTCCTCTGTTTTTCAAGGCACTCTAGTTTAGACCTAGTTAGGAATGTCAGAGAAATCTGCAACAGGTTCATATTCATATTTTATGAATCTAACCCATAGATTCACATTCATATTTTTTCTAACCCATAGATTCCACAATAACTGGCAAATTGCACAAATTCTGCAGATCTGCAGACATTTTTTTAAACTTTTCAGAATTATATGCTAATTTAGTAATACAGAATTATAGTGGTGGGGTGAAAATGTGCATTTCTCCCTTGTAGGCTAAAATGTGGAATGTAGGATTGGGGGAAAACCACATATTTGCATATTTTTGGAAGTGCACATTTGTGCAAGTGCATATTTCCCAATGTGAATGCCATTCAAGAAACTGAGATTCTATAAATTAGCAGCTGACAGGAAGAAAGATGCCTGACAGTCTGTGCAGCACAAAGAGAATGAATTTAACAAACTCTGCGTATCCCTAGACCCAGTATCCCTGGCGGCTTCTGTGCCTTTGTATCCCTGCAGTGATTTGGGAATAACCGAGATGGGGAATATGAAATTCCATGTATTGTTCCCATGGTGAGAGAGATCCAAGGAGCCCAGCAGCTAGCAAAAAAACCAGTAGTAAATTGGCAGGATCTGTGGACAGATGGCCCTACCAGGCCACACCCTGGAGAGCTGCCTCAAGTGGCAAGCTTTTCCAAAGGCTGGCATAGTGGGAGATGTGTGGATTTTGCTTGTGGGATGCAACCCGCAAGGTAGCTTTTCTACACAAGCTGTACTGTGAGCTGTGCAAGAACAACAGTGGTTGCTCATTCCATCCATTTCAATGGAAAGTGGAGTGTTGTGCCTCATGCTGGGTGCTGAGTGCCATTTGGACTTGTTACCTTGGACACTGAAAGGTCTTGGGGTCAGTTCTTCTTTGGGATTCTGTTCCTTTCTGTGGTTCTGATTCCTTGCTTGGCTTCGGGCAGGTCCCCTTCCTGCCCCGTGTCTGTAATCTACAGGTACAGCTAGGATTGGTTTCTTCCCCAAGCCCCTCCCTTCTCCGCTGCTTAGTCCTTCAATCCCATTAGAAGATTGCCGGGGATTTTTCCTGAGTGCCTCCTTGCAGTTCCTTCACCTTTCTCCAGCATTCCAGCATGGAACAGCTTTCTTCCGTTGGGAAGGGTCCCGGTGCCCAGAGGCCCTTGGGGGGCCACAGGAATTCACAGCTGCTGGCCCTGGCTGAGCTGTGGGAGGCTGACCACAGGCACCCCGGGGGCTTGGAGTCCATCCTGGGTGAACATGACATGGTAGGGCTTGATTGCTCGTGCGCCCGGGGCTCCCTTCCCTCTTCCTAACCTGCTAGCTGCCTCAAGATGCTTAGACACAGGTCCAGTTTTCTTGTTCTGCTCCCCCTCCTGTTGCTTCTTGAAACCTCTTGGCTCTGTTTCCATCAAGATCAAGCTAATGGTGAAGTCCTGGATTTGCCTAGGGTGGTATGCAGCTCTTCATTCAAGCAGCTCATTATGGCAGCACGCGTGGCTTTTTCCCATTCCCATTTATGTTTATAACCATCCTGCGAGGTTTAGGTTGAAACCAATGCATTATCTGCGTGCTTCATGGCTGCGTAGAGACTTGAACCCAGGTCTTTCTAGCTGCAGCTCACTTGCTGAATTGGCAGATCTCCTTTGCTTCGCAAACCCTTGAAGACAACATCTTAAGATCTTCTCTGTCTTTTCTGTGTCCATCTTATTTACTGTGCTTAAAAAACAAAACAAACTAACTAAAAAAACTAAAAACCACCAAACGCCACATTCCAGAGAGAAGGAAAGATGCATGTAAAAGAAAACCTGAAGATTAGTGCCAGGAACACAGGGACTGATCTGCAAACATAATCCAGGTGTGGATTTGTCGACTCTCCTGTAGTCTAGATAGAGAGAGGCCAAAGGAAGGGGATTACCATGAAATCAGTGCCAAAACATTTGCCTACAGCACAGAGCGCTCTGCAAAATGACCTCTTTTTTGTATATGTCTGATTTGCTCCTTCATCTTATTGAATCATGTGGGTCCTTGAGTGCCAGAATGTTTTCAACATTAAACTTCAACTGCCCTTGAACAGGATCTGCAGCAGGTCATCAACCGGAGTAGCAAAGTCTTTGGCATGAGAGATGGGCCATAACAACCCCATGGCCGAAATTCTTGTAAAGTGGGGGCAGGGGTGGGGAGAGGGATTGGAGAGCTTCAGAAGTCAGTAAAGAGCAAAAGCCTAAGCATCAGAAGCTGAATGCATTTCAAGCAATTTGATTTGATTAAAGCATTTTAAGGAAATAAAGTGTTACGTGCAGGGCAGTCATTCCAAATGCTCTTTGGATTCCTTGGCTAGAACGCTGGAAGCCAAGAACAGGTTTCTTTCTTATTGAGCAATTGTGGAGGGCTGTCATCTCCAACTATTCCAGTCCTGGTCCCAGGTAGGACCCACTTTATCACTCAGTCCTGTGTGTCCCATGCCCTGCCTCAGTCCTAACCAAGTCTACTTCTAAATTCTGCTGCTCCATGATTGGGGAAATTCAGCTTGGGAGAAAAGAAGTAGTTTTGTGTGTGAAAATACAGTAAGCTCAGATCAGGTATTAAAAATAAACCCCATACTGTACATGTGCTCAGAGGCACCCTTGTTTCTTAATTCTCTTTGTGTGTGCTCTTCTGCTCCTCCAAGCCACTATTGTGTACCTGGCTCCTGGTAAACCAAAAGCAAAGCTGGATTCCACAAGGTCTGAGGTCAGCCTATCTCTGCTTCAGAGACTTTTACTAGAAATGCTAAGAGTTAAATGAGGGCTGTACTCACACAAAGAGTGTGTTTCACCACCAAGTTACGGGCCCTCCTAATCCAGTTTAGGTTTATGGTTTACAGCAGTCCATCAGCTGCAGGCCAGTGAAATGGAATCGTACATGCACAGTTTCTCCATGAATTAAAAGCGCTGGAGACAGATATGACAACTGAACATTCGGAGAAAAGATCTGGACTATCCAGGAAGGGCCCAGGCCTCCATAGCTGCCTGCTATGGCTGCAGCTCTGGTGACAGGGGGTTTCCTTCCCTCTTGTGTATCAACTCTGGGGATAGAGGGATTACAAAATAAATCAGCATGAGGAGAGAAACCTGCAATTTTCCCTCACTTTGCTCAAGACTGAGATTTTGCGCATGAGTAGATCATGTAGATCCAAGTAGATCATGATGGCTTTCTTCCTTTCAAGGCATGGGGCTGTGGAAGCAGGGCTGGCAGAACACATTTTGCTGCCTGAGGCAAAGAGCAAGACAGCATCTTCCTCATTCCACAAAAGCCAAGTAGATTTGCAGTCGACTCTTTCTTCCCCACTGGCGATAGAGCAGCATCTTCCCCAAGCCCGAGGGCATCAGGCTCACTTAGAGAGCACAGGGCCAGCTGTGAAGCATTTGAGCTCTCTCCCCCAGCCTCTGTTGCCTGAGGCAGCCACCTCACTCTGCCTGATACTAGGCTGGCTCTGTCTGGAATGATCCCGTTAAGGAGGATGTTCCCGTAGTAACATCCAAGGACTCTCTGGAAACAGAATTGGGTTTTGCAAAGGCATGAATGATATAATGAAATATGGAACATGGTAATTAATGATAAACTGATGACAGAAATAAAAATTAAAAGAGGGTTAATGAAAGCAAATAAATATAATGAAATTTGGGGAGATTTTGTAAAAGCAGTACTGATAGAAGGCAAAGGCTGTAAACCCAGTCAAGATTATATGAACTTCTGGAGGGAATATGGAAATAATTGAAGTATATTATAATTAATTGTTATAGTATGTGAATGGTGGTAGCATTGGTCTCCGGGGTGGTGTGGGCACTTTATTATTTACCTTTTTAGTATTGTGTTTTTGTTATGTTATATTATTATTGTTGTAATGCATTGTAATTATGTTGTGTTGTTTTTTTTTTTTGTAAATAAAAAATGGGAGGTAAAAAAAAAAAAAATCCAAGGACTCTCAAAGCCAGTTTCCGGGGAAAGCAGTGCATCACACAGATGCCGGCAGCTGAACTGAAACTGAGGCCTACTTCCCACTGGAGCAGAAAAGCAACATCAAGCGACTGCCACTTTTAACTGAGAGGCCTCAGTTATGACTATGACTATTTGTGCTCCTTCAAATAAATAACAACCCTGCACATTAAAAAAAAACAACAAAAACTAACTAATCAAAGTGACTAAATGCTTCTCTCCAAGTCTTGTTCTCTGTGTGTAGGGATACAGTTAGGCTGCAGGGATATTTAAAAAGAGGAACCCCCACCCCCACCATCACCACAACCACCAAATGCTCTACAGTCTAACTTGGGAAGTCGTTGAGGCCCCATCGGTGCGGGTGTTCAAGGATAGGCTGGACATGCGGAGGTGGGCATGTCATGAGCGGAGCCCGGCTGGAGCCGGGGGTCAGACTAGATGGCCCAGGAGGCCTCTTCTGACTCGCTCTGTTTCCATGTTTCTGTGTTTCTAACTTGCTTCCAGAAGTTCTTTTAGGCACTTTTTTCTTGATAGGAAAAATCAATTCACTGGATATTTATCCAAATAAAGTTCACAAATAATTTGATTTCTGTTTTTAACATCCAATTACAATTCGTGTTTGACATTTAAAATAAGATTCCAATACTGGATACTTGGCAGTTGATATGCACCTGGCAGTTAACATGAAGTCTTTGGCAGCTGGTTGAAAGCTTAGGAGAGTTCACAAATGACACCTGCCTGAATCAAAAGGATCCTGAGGCAGTAATGCGGCTGGGTCATTTTAGACTCGGGACTAAATGGTCTCCCTCTGCACCCCACCCCTTTAGAGGGTGATGTACTTTACTCCCCTTATCTCCAAGTATAACAAGCCAACCTGCTGTGCTTGAGGATCCCCCAGCTCATCCTGCTGAAAGGGGGCAGGACCACTGCCACAAAGTCCTCTGAAAGCAATGCTAGCAAATTCAACCAAGCTTGTATTCTGTATTTTGAGGCAGAGTGTTAAAAAAAATATCCCATGCTGCAATCTGTCATTCTGAAACATTTCAACTGTATGCCCATTCATTTTTTGACTCAGACTTAGAGATGTTTCTGCAATAAGCTCTCTGTAATCAAATGTGGACAGTGTGGCTTGCCCTTCCTTTGGAGTTCCTGTTCTGATTGCATTCCCTGGCAGGTCCTTGACATTGGTGAGTGCCTCACTGTCCCAGATGAGTTTTCCGAGAAAGAGAAGAAAACGGGGATGTGGTGGAAGCAACTTATTGCTGGAGCCATGGCTGGTGCTGTCTCCAGGACTGGAACAGCCCCACTGGATCGTCTGAAAGTTTTCATGCAGGCAAGTAAAAGCCAAGAAATGCAGCTGGGGTGGGGCAGCAGGGCTTCCTTCTGCAGGGGCACTCAAAAAGGTGATGCCATTCTAGATGGGAGTATGCTATAGGAGAAGGGGCTGCTTGGTAGCGCAGGTTGCCATTTTGTGTGTGTGGCAGCCACTTTTGTGCATGGTGAGAAAGCTGCAGAAAGCAAGGAAGATAGACTACATAAAAGAGATACCTAAAGGGTAGAAGTTCACTGGTTCAGGGAGTGTTTTATTTACTCTGCTGGTTCCCAGCACATTTCAAACTTGTCAGGGAAAACAGACATTCAGAACAGCCATTTGCAAGCTGGTATCCTCTGGGTGGGACCACAAGCCCCATCACCCCACCAGGTCTCTGTAACAACGAGTTTTGTAGTCTAACACATGGGGAGGGTATGACCTTATGGCTGGTGACACACAATCTTTTCATCCAATTTACTATTTCCAGAATTCCCAGTATAAAGCCAGCATTCACTGAGATACTCCTGTTTGCAGCAGCTTTCCCCAGCCTAGCAAGCTGAGAATGATGGAAGGGGCAGCTCAGTCCCTCTGGAGGGCACTGGGTGGGGAAGCCTAGCGAACAGCTTGGCTTACAGCACAACTATCCCCTTTCCTGGAAGCCAGTGCGCTACTCACCCCTTTTATTTTTTTTGCCCCTTCCATCCTGCTGCAGGTGAAGATTGCCACTCCCCGGGGCCAGGCCAAGTTGACATTTTGAAAGAATTACTGGGCTGAGATCCCATGCCTGGGGCATTTGAAGCTGGTGAATGATAGGACGAGGTGGCACTGGGGAAGTTGCAGGTTCTCCCTCTTTGGGAAGGTCAGTCTGTTACAGACCAGTTGTAAACATTATCCTGCCATCCTCAGTGAACGCATCATTTTCCAGGACAGGCTTAAAAGCACGTACAGTCCAAGAGTTGCATTACAGAAAAGGCTGTAGGTGTGCTGCAATCTTTCCCTATCCCTTGGAGTCTGGGCCCACAGGCAATTGAACATGTTTTTCCAGAGGAGAAGCACCACCAGCCTCCTGGCTCAAGACATTTTCTGCCCGGGGCAGAACAGCAGCTGCACGGCATCCAAGACTGGCCAAATTATTCTGCAACTAAGGAAAAAAACACATGCTAGCAGCTCTCCCTGGTTTTAAGAAGGCAACCAGGAAAATAATATAATGACTCGTGCTGTCTTTTCATGACACCCCAAATCAGCTGCCAAATGCAGCGGTGCAAAACCTCAGGACTTGGGCCCAAATGCAGCCTGCTGGGGTTCCCTTGGAGACCAAACCCTTTCCCCCAGCCACCAATCCTTTGGTGGCACCCCTGCTTTTGTGCAGTTTTTCTCCATTTTAAAAGGTTGAAATGTGTCTCGCAGTGCCTGCTTCTTGGAAGCAAGAGCCTTATGTTAAACTACTCGGGCATATTTTTGTATCCAGCTTAACCCCTTTAGCCTTCAGCCCTGTCCACCAGTGCACTGTGATCCCTGAGGGTTTCTTGAAATGGAACATGGCGCTCAGGATGAGTTTCTGCACCCCTGGCTTAATGGTGCAGCCAGCTTTGTGCTCCTGCCCTCTCCACTCTCTCTCCAGCAGCCGCAGCAGCCGCCTCCGCCCCTTCCTCCCACACTGAAGATAGTTTCAGGAGATGCAGGGTTTCCCCTTACTCTTCTCTTACAACAGAGAAATTTTCACCCTTTTATACTTCACTGCATCCCTCCAGCAGTACTCCTGCAAACCATGTTGACAACTTGAGGAGGAACCCCATGGGTGCTGCTGGTACTGGGTAGGGGAGAAGAGGATACAAAACTGGAGCTTTCATTTGTCCCTGGACAGGGAAAAGAGAGTAGAGCAGCGGCTGGGGAGCTATTTTCCTGGCCATTCTCTGCCCTTCAGATTTCATCGCTACACTAAGAACTGCAACCCAAATCACAGCAGCAGCAACAAAATTCTTGCTTGGTTGTTTGTTTGCATTTGACAGTGGGCCATTCGTTCTAAGCAAACTGCCCCTTTTACTGCACTGTGAAATCTGAGATCTTTTGCAGCACTGCAAAGGATGCTGGGATGAAGCTCCCACAGGGCGTGCTGGTTGCCTGAGCCCCTGCAAAAGCAAAGCTATCCTTGCTGCTGCCATCAAGTCCGCCCTGCCTATGGGAGTCGGAGACCATCTCTTTTCTCCTGGCCATGTGGGTGACCCTTCGGCTCCTCTTCCTTGCTCTAGGTCCATGCCTCAAAGAGCAACAACATGAATGTCTTAGGAGGACTGCAGGGCATGATCCGTGAGGGAGGCATCCGCTCGCTCTGGCGAGGCAATGGCATCAACGTCCTCAAGATTGCACCCGAGTCTGCCATCAAATTCATGGCCTATGAGCAGGTACAGCCAGCCTGGGGAGGTGGCAGTGGCATGTGTGTCTATGAATATATGGGGTGGGGTGCAAAGTAGGTATACCATTATAAGAGTTATACAGAGTTCCTCACCCTGTGTCAAGGTGTGCTAGAGTGTAGAAACTAGACTACAGGAATGTGTAAATGCTGAAGGCTGGCAATTTGAGCACTTAAGAGATTGTACTTAATTGCAATGTGTATGTTATCCTTATTGTGACTTAATAAAGCTATTGTTTTTTCCTAATAAAAACTGTATACCTACTTTTGCACCCCTCTGTATATTTTAGTAGTATAACACATAGATAGATTCATAGACAGGTGAACGAATAGCTATCTTCAGACCATTTCCGTATATAGGTGTTTTGGAGATGGGAATTAGCCTGCTGCTGCCATGGTGGGAAGGGTCATGCCTTGGTGCTGTTGGGGTGCCTCCATGCCCACCAGCCAATGAGAGGCTGAGAGAGCCTTTGGCAGCCATACACCAAAGCACTTTCTCCAAGGTAACAAACGCAGCTGCCTTCGTTCACATGGCCTTTCCTTCAGTCAATCCATAGCGCTTATGGAGGGGCCCACCAAGATTTCCTGAGGGCCTCAATCCGTTGCCTCTCATTGCAGATCAAGCGGATAATTCGTGGGCAGCAGGAGACGCTGAGAGTGCAGGAGCGATTCATTGCTGGATCATTAGCTGGGGCCACAGCACAGACCCTAATCTACCCCATGGAGGTAAGATCATCCCTCTTTGCCTGAATGAAGTGGGAGGACCACGTCTGCATCTCCTGCTGGTTCTTGACATGTATGAGAGCCCACCAGCATTTCAAGGGGAAGTCTGGACTCCACTGGACTAACAGCCTCAAAACGGCATTACCCACCAAGAATTTCCTGTTGTCGTTGCTTGCTACAGGGGGGTGCGCAGGTTGCTCTGCCTTCTTGCAAGGTATTTCTTGCTCTGAACACATTGGACCTTTGAGTCCTTACTGAGATTGCTTCCTGACCCTGGAAGCTGCATCCATAAACCAGAAGGGTAGCAGAACCTTTTCCCTCTGACTAGCAACTGATGTACTCACCTGAGAGGTAGTCTAATTCCCTCCTATTCCAGTTGGAGGAGGGGCCTTCCCTGATGCACTCTTCCTGCTAAGCCAGCCTTCCTGTTATAAGCTCAGCAGTGTGGTTTCAGGGATAACTTCTTTGAGAAGCACTAGCAGATGCTGGACACTAGCAGGGGCTGGATATTTCTGCAAAGGACCAGTGGCAAGGTTGGATGTTGCCAAGATAGCTACACTAACCTTGTTCTGGGGAAACTGAGGTAGGGATGATAGCAGCTCAGGAGAAGTCTGCTTTCTATTTTGGACCTGCTGCAGCAAGCCACTGGGTATTCAGGTCAGTGTGCACAGGAGTCAGGGAGAGTTGGGGCTGCACAGTGTTCTTGGTAAAGGACTGAATGCCATGGGGCTGCATTTCTGACTCCGTCTGAATTTTAGCCTGTGGCTACTGGACTGGGAAAGGTTTTATTTCGGTGAAAGAGAACTTCCCAAGCATGGATAAGATCCAATTTCTGTTTGCTTATAATATTTTGAATCTGCTTTCAGTCCTAACAAGTCCATTCCAACAACACAGATAAGATCATAAAGCAATGATAGACTGGAAGATGGACAAGGCCAAATCAGGTCTGGCATGTAAGAAAAACACTAACAATAAAAAGCCTGTCTGGAAAAGGCAGTGTTAGCTACCCATTTAAAAAGGACAAGGACCGCAATCCATTGCAGTGGGAGAGCACAGGCTAGCAGTGGGTAGGGCCAGAGCGTGCTCCCCGCTTCTCTCCCTCCCTTTCTGCCACCCTCCCCCAGTCTCTCCTCTTCTCCTCCACACCCAGCAGGCTGCAAAGTTGCTCTTGGCAGATGTCTGATCACTCACAGAGGGCTTTTGAAATCCAGTCGAGGGGTCACGTGATATTAAGCCAATTGCCCCAGCTTGTCCATTCCAACCTTTCTGATGCCGCTACCTTTAGCTGGAGGAGAGGAACCTCACAGCTTTAGCTTATCACCCTTTCCCCCTCCACACCAGGTTCTGAAGACACGGCTGACCCTCCGCAAGACGGGCCAATACTCAGGGGTGGCTGACTGTGCCAGGCAGGTCCTTCAGAAGGAAGGGATCCGTGCCTTTTACAAGGGTTACCTGCCGAACATGCTGGGCATCATCCCCTATGCTGGCATTGACTTGGCAGTCTATGAGGTCAGTGGATTTGTGTGAATAGGGAGGGAGCACCAGCTGCCATTCCTCCATAGGTATCTGTTGAAAGGCACAATCCTGGCTGCTGTGTTCCTTTGGGACCCTTTCCAAAGACTGTCCACCCACCGCCCCATCCTCCTTTCCCTTGCCCTGTGACCAAGGGGAGCTCCCACAAGGTTTGCAGGCTCAGGAAGGAAGCCGCTTCCTTCCCACACTCCCTGTGCCCTGATCTGAACGGACATGTTGCCCTGTCCTGTGCTAACCTTTCCTTCTTTCACTGCAGACACTGAAGAACACCTGGCTGCAGAAGTACAGCAAGGACACCGCTGACCCAGGTGTGCTGGTGCTCTTGGCTTGTGGCACTGTCTCCAGCACCTGTGGCCAGATTGCCAGCTACCCCTTGGCTCTGGTGCGGACCCGGATGCAGGCACAAGGTGAGCTGGCAGCATGGTCCAGTCCTCTCTCCAAGGAGCACTGAGAGCGGGCAGGGGCCAGGGTATACTGACAGGAGGATGGGAATACCGCCTTGAATGTGGGAGGTGGGTGAACATGAGGAAAATGGAAAAGAAACGGGGAGACACTGAAAAGGGAAAAAGGAGAGACGGGGAGGCTTAACAAACCACCCACTCTGTAGATTCCGGTGGAAGGCATTGATCTGGGCCAAATATTCTTAATGATGCTGGATCTGAGGGTCTGACAGGAATTTCTGTTGAGGTTCTGCTTCAATACAATTTTCTTAGCAACCTGTTTTTATGGATTGTTTGTTGCATCCTCGTGGTGTGTTTTTTAAATCCTTGAGAAGGCTCTGCTCTTCAAGGTGTCCTAGGAAATTGTATATTTATTTGTTTATTTAAGCTGGCTTTAGGCTTTGCTTTCTTGGGTTCTCTTAAAAAATGTGGAGCAAATGGTCAGGGTGTGGGACCAGAATGAAAGGCAGCCTGGCTGATTTCTGTGTCACTTTACCATTCCCATCGCACACGGATCCACCAAGATGCACACAGAGACACAAGGCACAGCTGGGCTCTGCCCTGTGGCCCCAGGGACCCTGTTCCAGCCCCAGCAGGCTTCATGCCACATCTGCATCCTCCACCAGCTCCCACAGGCTTCATGTCCCAGGCCTCAGGGGGCCTGGCAGCCTGGCTCTCTGAATCTACTGTGGCTACCATTGCCCTGACCTCTCTGCTGTCTCTCCTTCTCCCCCTGTAGCATCCATCGAGGGTGCCCCACAGCTAAGCATGCTGGGGCTGTTTCAGCACATCCTGTCCCGGGAAGGCGTGCTGGGTCTCTACCGTGGCATTGCCCCCAACTTCATGAAAGTGATTCCTGCTGTCAGCATCAGCTACGTGGTGTATGAGAACATGAAACAGGCTCTGGGGGTGACGTCCAGATGAACTGGATAGCTGCCACTGCCGCCTCCCCTAGCTGCATGGGGCCTTCCCGGGAAGAAGGGCTGCTCCTCTCGGCGATGATGGCACGCTCCGAAGGCAGTTGGTGGTGGGGACAGGTCTTCACTGCTCCAGGGCCCAGGCTGTGGTGATGTGGAGGTCTGAAGGGTACTGGAACAGATGGGCCCACACCTTCTTCATGCTTGCAGGGAGAGTGCCCTCCCTCCCTCCCTCCCTCAGCAAGGCGTGCCGGCAAAAGTGATCCCGCTCACCGACAGCCCTGCTTTCTCTGCAGAAGCCTGGGGCTGGGAAGTGCTGTGTGGCTTCAGAGGCAGATTTCCTTGTCTCACCCAAGTTCCGGAGTCTTTGGAGTTGGCCTAACAAGACAGGCTTGCTTCTAAGCCCAGGCGCTTCCTTGGTAGCCTGTTGCTCTCTGCATGTGTGTCTTTGTCTCCCCACAACCCTCCAACAAAGGACCAGGAAAAACCAGGGCATGTCTTCCTGTCCTGCATATTACTGCCAGCCACATCGTGGTTTGCTGGAAAACCAACCCAATCAGTGTTGCCTGATCTCAACCACAGCTATCCCATTAGAGGAGCAGAGACTTTGAGTCATGCTCCTCTTCTGTCAATCAGCAGAGTTCAACACTGGAGATTATGCATTCAGGGACACTCCATCACACTGGAGACAACATAAATCCCTGTTAATTATCAGCAGGAGTGACACTTGTGGTGACACTCAGCCACTGCTGTGGCACCTGGGAGTGGGTGGGCAAGTGGACTGATTCCTACCTTCCCTCAGATTGCCAGGATGTCATCCTGATTCACATTTGATCGCCCTTCCACTTCCTGATCCTGTTGTGGGACTGGAGCCCCGGGTGATTGCATTTCAGCTCAGCTCCACTCTACCTGCCCCTTTCCATGGAAGGCATCTGTATATTTTGCACATAGACGGTTTTTAACTTATGCTACTGGTCTACACTCTCTACCTAGACTTCTGCGGCTGAACTTGAACCCTCTTCCACCTTCCCAATCACAATTCCCTTCCCTTCTCCTTTGAGGGGGTGGAGAATGCAGAAGGACATTGCAAGGGCTACTGTTCTGTTGTCCTCTGAGTGCACTTTGACTGTCTGCAGTCCTGGATTTCCCTGGTGCACCCATTTCTGCTCACTATGAGATATTTGCACTGGATACACTGGCTGTGCTGCTTAAGAAATGCCACCCCTGAAGCCCTTGCAGCCAGGTACCCTTGCTTTCTTAGCTCTGCTTTGCGTCACTGCTGAATTCATTTGCAGGCCATGATGCGATGGAGGTGGGTACTCATTATGCCTTATTCTCCCAAGAGATCCTGCTTTGAAAGCTGTAGAAGACAGATTTCTCAGATAGGCATTCCTCCCCATTCCACTGCCCTTTTAAAAAAGCAACCTGGTTTTCAAAAGTTACTTGCAATGTCACTTCCTAGCATGGACAGGCCTGGGGATTTTAATCTGTGTGAGGTAATCATGGGCAAGGCTCTGTGCAGGGTGCTGAAGGGAGCCCATCCCCCTGATCTTGTTCATCAATTAGCTCTGGCTTCTGAGATTTCCCCCAACCAATGCCCCCAAGGGAGGTCCCATGCTTTGCAACACAAGTTGGCAAGCATCAGGGCTAGAGACCTACTTGGTGCATTGAACAGTCACATAGTGAACGTTATCCAGTGAACGTCCTCGTGCGTCTGCAAAATGTGCCTGACCAAAGTGCAACCACAAGAGGGCAGTGCAGCACCTCCAGCATCGGTTGACCTTGACTGACCTGTACTTCCCCAAGTGTGGTTTTCTGGGGTACAGGTGGTGCTGAAGGTTGGGATGTGTACCTCTTCTACATTAAAACTGGAGGCATGCTTCATTCTTAGGCTTCCAAAGTTATGTCTCCATCTTCAGCTTCTTCCTTCAGACTGCGAAATACCTCTGTGCTAGTTGTTTCCTGCCCTCTTTTTTGCCTCACCAGCGTGACCTCAAGGATCGGATTTGTGATTTCTGGGCATTAGCAATGCCCCAGGATTTCCCCAAATCTGTCAGCTGTGATGTTGACCTGTATCAGGGAATTATATTTCTGTCACCACTGATATCCCCATAATGTTGGCAGAGAATACAAGCAGAGATACAATCAGTAATGTGCATGGGCCTCCCCAACTTTAAGGCGTGATACAGAAGTGCAGTCTTTCCCAATCTGGTGCCCTGTGTGATGGCCAGTGCTGGCTGGGCGATGATAGAAGTTGGAGGGTGCTGGATGGAGATTGCTGGGGTCGCAGAGTGACTTAACTTTTCAAAGGGGTGAGCTTCAGCCCTCTTGGGACAGTGACTGGGTTCAGACAACACAATAACCCAGTAAGAGTAGCTGTTGAATTGTGTTCTTGCTGAAAAGTGGACTAATGCAGCCATGCTAACAAGTACTGGCGTGTCAACCACACACAGCCCATAAAGAAAACACATGATTTCTTACTGGGTTGTGAGCTGTGGAGTGCTTGTGGCTAGCTAGAACAGCTGGGATCAGACAACACGATAACCCACATTTCAATAAGCAACCAACACTCAACCCTAGAGTGTTGTTTGAGCCTATCCACAGTTTGGGAGCCACAGCCCTGTGAGTAAGGGGCCATAAGGTAAGGCGGTTGAACCTCAGACCTGTGGGCCAACCCACCCTGCCTAGGGCCCCACTGCAATGCTCCAAATAGCTACACCCCTTTAAGGCATGGAGTGAGAATGAGGCTGAGTGAACATACCCACCCACCTGCATTTCCAGTCCCAGGTGGGACCTCCAGGTGTGCTGCAGAGAAGGTGGAGAAAAGCAGGGAAAGATGTACAAAAGGACTTGAGGGGAGACAAACGGGGAGGGGGGGGGAGAGCCACTGCTGCCTCCTTACCCCACTCAGCCTTGTATTTAAAGTTGCAGGGCAGGGGGAATCTCTGGATTGCAGCTTGGCAACCTGAAGGAGAAGGCACATTTGTAGGTGACCTAAAGCAGTTGTGGGCATGGGACAGGGCATCAGGATGTGGAGGCAGGAGGGGCTTGAACACAAGGTCTTCAAATCCCTGTGAAACGGCATAAGATGCAGTGATGGCCACCAACTTGTACAGCTTTCAAAGATTAGGCAACTTCATGGAGATAAGGCTACCAAGGGCCACTTGTGATTGTGTGTAGCTACCCCGTCCATTATGTCTCTGAGTGCTAGTTGCTGGAAAACATGAGAGGGAGGTTGCCCTTGTGCTACTGTCCCAGTTGTGGGCTTCCTACTGGGGCGTCCAATTGGCTCCTCTGGGAACAAAATGCCTTTGAACAGTATATAGGCCTCTGCTCTGATCTAGCGCAGCTCTTCTTATGTGCTTCAAGCTGTGAAGGAGCCTTCCCAAGACTTCTGCCCTCCTAATGCATTGGACTTCCAATTGGCCTAGCCCCAGTCAGCATAGCCAATGGTCAGGCGTGCTGCAAGTTGTAATCCAAAATGTCTGAACGGTACCAGGTTGGGGAAAGCTGCGGCAAAGCATATAATCCGGCCAAGGCTTGGAGCTTCTGGCCAGGGAGCTCTTCTGACCTGGGAAAGACACCTAGACTGCAAAGGTCAGGTAGCGTCTCTGGCCTCAAATTGCCCACCAAGAAACCAGGTGGGAAACAAGTGTGGGGTCTAGATTCTCATAGAATGCCTTGCTTTTGGGAATTAAACAAACTGAGAAATCATGTTCACATCCACTGCATTCATCCTGCACTCCTCTTTTATTTCTAACTCTTGCCTGAGTCTAACGCCAGTAAGGCTATTTCTGTACATTTGCTGCTGCTGCTACTGCTACTGCATTTTGTGTTGGTATTTCAAAGGGAAAACGAAACACAAGCTAATAAATTTTCTAAAGTTTCCTTTGTGTTTCTTGGCTTATTACCCTGAAAATGAATGTACTTAGTAAAGTATGCACACATTTTAGCAAAGGGATCCACCATATTGATTTCCCTTTGACTTAAGAGCTACATCTGTTCATTGATCTTGCTTCTTAACCCAAGACACTGAGGCACAGGAATTCTTTGCAAAGTTCATCAGTCCTCTGGTTTGTAGCACAAAGTTTTCATGGTCTGATTTGGGTTGGAAACGTGTGAGTGTACACACATGCACATGATTCTTTCCCCAGTGGCCTCTGTTCCCGCAGATAGAATTCCTTGCTTGTCCCACTTCCTCAGGTTATGTGAAGTTCCAGGAAAAGAGTGACAGCATTATGTTTCTCTGGAAAGAATGTAACTATTCAGGTTTTTTACAAATGTGCACGCAGAAAGTAGTGCAGCCCTCCTCATCTGGTGCCCGCCAGTCGTTGAAGTCCACAACTCCTACCATTCCTGTTCACTGGATCTGATGCTGGCTGGGTCTGATGGGGGTTAAAATCTAAAACACTGGAAGGACATCAATTTGGGGCAAGCTGGATTAGAGGAAGCAAGCATACCCTCCGACAGCTATTTCCAAGCGGTAGCTCTATTAGTCTGTTGCAGCAAAACCACCAGAGGATCTCATGATACCTTCAAGACCAACAACTTTACTCTGGCATATGCTTTCTGTTTCAAGTTCCAGCAGGAGCACTTGCTTCCTAAAGCTGCCTGGTTCACAGCCAGCTCACAGCTCTCTTCTTATTTCAGGATCCATACTTTTTTTAAAAACGTTTTATTAAAATTTTAAACTACTACTAAAAACATCAAACATCACATACATCGGATTTACTGGGTCAACCCCCTACTACATATTTTTTAACATTCTATAGTCAAATTTAAATCAGTTTATAATAACTTGAAAACATCTCTAAATTTATGCCAAGTCCCGTTTCTCCAGCCAATTATAGAAAAAATCCCAAGTTTGATAGAAGTCAGTGTCTTCTTTCTCCTTCAATGATAAAGTCAGTCTATCCATTTCTGCGCAGTTCAAAATCTTTCTTAAAATCAATTCATCGGTGGGTAGCTCCTCACTTTTCCAATATTGAGCAAATGCAATCCTCGCTGCTGTGATTAAGTGTAACATCAAATATATTTCCTGTCTGTTAATGTCTTTCGGTATGATGCCTAACAAGAAAGCTTCAGGTTTAAAAGCAAAGGATTTTTGTAGTATTTCCTCCATCCATTTATGTATTTTAATCCAATATTTTTTCGCATTATCACAAGTCCACCACATACGATAAAAAGTACCCACTTTATGTTTACATTTCCAACATCTATTTGACATATTTGGAAACAGCTAATCGACTTGGCGACAAATACCATCTATAACACATTTTATATAAATTTTCTTTATACGAAGTTGCTAATATTACCTTAATATTTCTTTCCATACTGCAAAATCTTATAAACCACCAAGAGAGTCCTACTAGGCTATTAGTGCAGTATAAAAGCTTAATAATAAAATAAAATAATCTGGCTTCAGTTTCCCTTTCCTTTAGTTTTGAGGGACGTTACCTTCTCACAGCAGGAAGGGAAGAGTGAAAGATTCTCCAGCCACCGAGGCATCATCACTCTGCAAATTTCTTGCCACCACATGGGATCCTCTTCCCCAGCACTATGTCATGTCCTCTCCTTTCTCTTTGCCACTGCCACATAGGTTCTATGAAGAGCCCCATAAAAGCCTCTTGCTGCTGTGTTGTAGGGACTCACAGTGAGGACAGGGGGGCTTGCCATGCGGAAAGGAGACTATGGGCTATGGCCCTAGAGAGCAGTGCCAGCCCCTTTTGCATGACAGCAAATGTGCAGCACAATGAAGCTATGAGCTATGCTGTGCAGGGGCACCCAAGGCGGAAAGGTCATAGCAGAGAGCTCGGACAAAAGCTGATCCACTGGAGAAGGAAATGGCAACCCGCTCCAGTACTCTTGCCATGAAAAACCCATGGACAATTCTAAAGGGCAAAATGATATGACACAGGAAGATGAGCCCCTCAGGTTGGAAGGTGTCCAATGTGCCACTGGGGAAGAGCAGAGGACTAGTACTAGCAGTGCCAGAAAGAATGAAGCGACTGGGTCAAAGCTGAAAGGACACTTGTGGATGTATCCGGTGGTGAAAGTAAAGTCTGATTCTGTAAAGATCTAAACTCCATAGGAACCTGGAATGTAAGATCTATGAATCAAAGCAAGCTGGACATGGTCATACATGAGATGACAAGACTGAACATTGACATCTTGGGAATCAGCTAACTAAAATGGACAGGAATTTGGATGACTACTGGATTAAATTCAGTGCCCTAACCACTGATGCTGAGGAGGCTGAAGTTGACCAGTTCTATGAAGGCCTACAACACCTTCTAGAAATAACCCCCCAAAAATGATGTCCGTATCATCATGGGGGATTGGGATGCTAAAGTGGGAAGCCAAAAGATAACCGGAATAACAGGCAATTTTGGCCTTGGAGTACAAAATGAAGCAGGGCAAAGGCTGGCAGAATTTTGTAAAGAGAATACAATGGTCATAGCAAACGCTCTTGTCCAACAACCCAAGAGACATGGGCTCTACCCATGAACATCACCAGACGGTCAACAAAGAAATCAGATTGACTATGTGCTCTGCAGCCAAAGATGGAGAAGCTCTATACAGTCAGCAAAAACTAGACCAGGAGCTGACTGTGGGTCAGACCATGAGCTTCTTGTTACAAAATTTAGGCTTAAATTGAGAAAAGTAAGGAAAAGCACTAGGCCACTCAGGTATGACCTAAATCATACCTGATAAATATACAGTAGAAGTGACAAATAGATTTAAGGAGTTAGATCTGATAGACCAGTGATGGCAAACCTTTTAGAGACTGAGTGCCCAAACTGCAACCCAAAACTCACTTATTTATCACAAAGTGCCAACACTGCAATAAAACCTGAATGCTGTCATTTTAGTTTAGAAAAAACAACGCATACATAAGAAAACTCAAAGCTAAAATCATGCGTTAATAATAACGAATGTATTAAAACTCAGCCAGTCCAAGCACACACACACAAACATATATCCTTGGCAGCACGCTGACTGGCCATGCGAAAGCTTGGATGAGTCACGGCTAATGAGTTGCGGCTCATGACTTCATTGCCTGGCGCTGCGACTCCTTTCCAAGTATGCGCATGGCCCCTATGTGCACTGTCATCCGATGCTCGGCTGCTGGGGTGATGCTGGGGCAACACGGCTTGCATGCCGATAGAGTTCCATAGGTTTGCCACCACTGTGATAAACAGAGTGCCTGAAGAACTATGGATGGAGGTTTGCAACATTGTATAAGAGGTAGCAACTAAAACCATCCCAAAGAAAAAGAAATGCAAGAAAGTAAAATTGGCTGTCTGAGGAAGCTTTACAAATAGCTGAGGAAAGAAGGGAAGCAAAAGACAAGGGAGAAAGAGAAAGATACACCCAACTGAATGCAGAATTCCAGAAAATAGCTAGAAGAGATAAGAATGCCTTCTTAAATGAACAGTATAAAGAAATAGAAGAAAACAATAGAATAGGAAAGACTAGAGATCTCTTCAAGAAAATTGCAGATATGAAGGGAACGTTTCATGCAAAGATGGGCATGATAAAAGACCAAAATGGCAGGGACCTAACAGAGGCAGAAGAGATTAAGAAGAGGTGGCAAGATTACACAGAAGAACTATACAAGAAAGAGCTTAACGTCCCTGATAACCACAATGGGGTGGTCTCTGACCTTGAGCCAGGCATCCTGGATGTGAAGTCAAATGGGCCTTAGGAAGTCTGAGCAATAACAAAACTAGTGGAGGTGACAGTATTCCAGCTGAGCTATTCAACATCCTAAAAGACGATGCAGTAAAAGCACTACACTCAATATGCCAACAAATTTGGAAAACTCAACAGTGGCCACAGGATTGGAAAAGGTCAGTTTACATTCCAATTCCAAAGAAGGGCAATGCCAAACAATGTTCGAACTACCGCACCATTGCACTCATTTCACATACTAGCAAAGTTATGCTCAAAATCCTACAAGCTAGGCTCCAGCAGTATGTGGACTGAGAACTACCAGAAGTACAGGCAGGGTTTTGAAGAGGGAGAGGAACTAGAGATCAAGTTGCCAACCTACGCTGGATCATGGAGAAAGCTAGGGAGTTCCAGAAAAACCTCTACTTCTGCTTCATTGACTATGCTAAAGCCTTTGATTGTGTGGATCACAACGAATTCTGGCAAGTTCTGAAAGAGATGGGAGTACCAGACCATCTTACTTGTCTCTTGAGAAATCTGTATGCAGGTCAAGAAGCAACAGTGAGAACTGGACATGGAACTACTAATTGGTTCAAAATTGAGAAAGGAGTTTGGCAAGGCTGTATACCAGGGGTCCTCAAACTTTTTGAATAGGGGGCCAGTTGAAAGGCTGCGGTGACCACTGCGGGCCAGTGAGGTGGGGGGTGCCTGAGGGCACGGGCTGGTGAGGTGCCGTTGGACGCACACAAGGCAACATCAGGCATGCGCAGCGGTGGCTCGCTTGCTCGCTCGGAGATCTCCCAGCGAGTCCAAAACCATCTCCAAGCACGCGCGTACAGGAGGCAGGTGAAGGCGGCTTGCTCACTCGAAGACCATCTCCAAGTAAGCAAGCTGCCACCTCCCCACCCACGCAGCAAGCGCATGTGCAGGCGGCGGACGGCAGTGCAGGCTGGATGGATGGCCATGCTGTATACTGTCGCCCTTTCTATTTAACTTATATGCAGAGCACATCATGAGAAAGGCAGGGCTGGATGAATCACAAGTTGGAATTAAGATGGCCAGGAGAAATATCAACTACCTCAGACATGTGCAAAAGTTGGCTTGAAACTCAATACAGTGGTACCTTGGCTCATGAACTTAATCCATTCCAGAACTCTGGTTGTGACCCAAATTGGTCATGAGCGAAGTTAGATTTCCCCATAAGGTTCAATGTA